CCGAAACAACTTCCAAAAACCTCGTTCCAGAACTGTTACCAGCAATGGCAGCACAGAATGCAAAAATGTATGAATGCTGAAGGGGACTACTTTGAAGGTGATAATGTCACGGAGAACTGATTCTGAAGATACAATGATTTATTGGACTAGTCTCGTTACTTTTGTGTCACACCTCGTATGTTAGATACCTGCGCGTTATATTCCCGCGCGCTAAATCTCTGCGGGTTTAATTTCTATATCTCTAATTCGACTTACTTGCGTGTGAAATTGTTGCACGGTGGATTTCTATGCTTTATGTTTCTACATTTTGGTTCTTTACGCAGTAAATTCCCACGCAATGGATTTTTACGCGGTGAATTATCATGCGTTGAATTATCGCGCATTGAATTCTCACGCATTAAATTCCTACGCGTTGAATTCTCACGCATTAAATTTCTACGCGTTGAATTCTCACGCATTAAATTCCTACGCGTTGAATTCTCACACATTAAATTTCTACGCATTGAATCTCCACGCGTTGAATTCTCACGCATTAAATTTCTACGCGTTGAATTCTCACGCATTAAATTTCTACGCGTTGAATTCTCACGCATTAAATTTCTACGCGTTGAATTCTCACGCATTAAATTTCTACGCGTTGAATTCTCACGCGTTAAATTCCTACGCGTTGAATTCTCACGCATTAAATTCCTATGCGTTGAATTCTCACGCATTAAATTCCTACGCGTTAAATTTGTACTTGTTGGATTTCTATACTTTGGATATCCACGTGTAGCATTTCTACATGTTGGAACTCCACGAATTAAATTGTTATCGACTAGATTTCTACGCATTGGATCTCCACACGTTAAATTCCTACGCGTTGAATTCTCACGCATTAAATTCCTACGCGTTGAATTCTCACGCATTAAATTCCTACGCGTTGAATTTTCACGCTTTGGATCACCACGCGTTAAATAGCTACCCGCTCAATTTCTACACTTGGGATCCACGCGAAATCTGAACGCATTAAATTATCATGGGTTAATATCAGGCGTAGAATTTCCAAGCGTCAAATTTATACGCACCGAATTCCTACGCATTAAATTTCCGCGCGTCGAATAACTACGTGTTGAATTTCTACGCGTTGCATGTCCACGCATATAATTTCCTACGCGCTGAACCACAACGCATTCAATCCCTACTTACAAGACTTCCAAACGTTAAATCTCCACGCATTAGAACCCTAAGGGTTGAATCCCCGATCATCAAATCTGTATGGGTTGAACCACGTGTTGGTTAACCACGCGTGAAATCCCTTTGCGTGGAAATGAGACACGTTAGATTCCTACGTGTTAAATCCCTACTTACAAGATTACCGATCGTTAAATCACTGTGCGTTAAACAGTCATTGGGTCTCGAAAGGTTGAATCCTCAATCATTAAATCCAGACGCATTAGAACCCTAAGGGTTGAATCCCCGATCATCAAATCTGTATGGGTTGAACCACGTGTTGGTTAACCACGCGTGAAATCCCTTTGCGTTAATTTCACTTGTGCTAAATCCCTACGCGTTAAATCCCTACTTGCAAGACTTCCAATCGTTAAATTACTACGCGTTAAACAGTCATGCATAGAGTCTCGAAGGGTTGAATCCTCGATCATTAAATCCACATGGGTAGAATCCTCATTACGTTGGATAACCACGCGTGAAATCCCTTTGCGTTAATTTCACTTGTGCTAAATCCCTACGCGTTAAATCCCTACTTGCAAGACTTCCAATCGTTAAACTACTACCCGTTAAATAGTCATGCATAGAGTCTCGAAGGGTAGAATCCTCAATCATTAAATCCACATGGGTAGAATTCTCATTACGTTGGATAACCACGCGTAAAATCCCTTTACGTTAAATTCACTCGTGTAAGATCCCTACCCGTTAAATCCTCACACATTGAACCGAGTATAAATCTCTCTCTATATTATCATTTCTACTGATTCTACATCTCCTCATGATATTTTGAGTAGTATTGCAAGAATCATTTCCTACGACAACGCAGCGAAAATCCAAAATCTGAAATTTGAAAATGAAGTTCGTACCAATTAGAATTGCAGAATAATTCATCTCCAACGTACTAAACAACTGTGAGAAACCATTCATGAAACTGAATTTGAAAATCTGAGGAAGTATTAAGGGGATTCTTCGTGTTCTTGTTTAATTACACGCGGTTGCACCGCAGCAACTTATGCTTCCCGAGCGCTTGTACGTATCACTCGAGGTCAGAGTTAATATCAAAGTTGGTGGAGTGTCATACGAAATAACTTCGACCTGATCTAATTAAATCGAATTATTTAACAGCAACTCTGCCAGCCAGTGTATGCAGGAGGTTAAGGAAATGAGTGGCTCGGTTCGATGGAATTGTTTTGATCAAGGGAATAGTGAAGTTGGTACGTTGTACGTGACTTTTGTTAATTAACGTCGGATGTGAACATGCTCGATAAATTTCGTTCTAGTTACATTATTAACGTTAACAGCTAGTTTAACGGCATTTTGTTTTGCAATAACATATCGGGTGAATTCAACTCGAGTGGATAATCAACAATACGAATTTGCGTTTCATGATTACGACTACAATTCATTTCATAGCAGATTATTCGATTCAATCGTTTCTACAGCTCTATATATTTATGAAATAGAAACAATAGCAGCAAACGTTACAAACCATAGGATTGTAAATCAATCGCTCGTGAGTTATTTAATTCACAGCATGATTTTTATCATTGTTCATGCAACAATTACACGACCACATTTCTGACATGAATATTCATGTTCGTAGGTGTTAGACGTATCTTGTATGAATTCAACCACGAATCGATTTGATCATAATAAATTATCGTACATGTGTATCACCTAGAAGGAACAGTAACAATAATATTTTCTACAAACCCACCCGAATTGCTGTTTACTTTTGTAGGTGTAGTGTTTGTCATCAAGAATTAACACGTGTAATATCGAACAATTACTTGCTATATCGTGAAATACCTGTTATTTGACATATTTGCTAGCAGCACTTTGTAAATTGATCCAACATGGAGTACTTTCATTTATAAAATGAAATAATATTTTGTAACGGAGTGGCGTTTGTAAATTATATGAGAGGTGTGTTTCGTTTCAAACACATGAAGAATGATCTCATATGGGATATGTGATAACTAATGTGTTGTTGCTTTAATGACTGATGGGACTCAAATCACCTAGTCAGAAATGTAACATCTGGATTCAAATATTTATATCTGATATTTATATCTGAAAGATATTTATGTCTGTCTAGTTTTAACTGGACTCAGATTTAAATCATACTTGGTCCCAGATTTAAATCACACTTGGTCCCACGTTTATGTCATATCTGGACATAAACTTGAATCACCCAATCCTAGATTTGAATCACCTGAATTCAGATTTAAATCATACTTGGTCCCAGATTTAGAACATTTGGACCCAGATTTAAACCAGACTTGGTCCCACGTTTATGTCGTATCTGGACTCAAACTTGAATCATCCAGTCCCAGATTTGAATCACCTGGACCCAAATTTAAACCACACTTGGTGTGACATTTAAATCACATTTAGACATAAATTTGAGTCACATCTAGACCCAGGTCAGAATCATATCTAGTTCCAAATTTAAATTACACTTGGAAATTTAAATCACAATTAGTGCCAAATTTGAATCACATCTAGTCTCAAAATTGAATCACGCCTAAATTCAAATCGCATTTAGACCTAAATTTGAATTACACCTAGACCCAGATTTGAATCACACCTAGTCCCAAATTTAAATTACACGTGGACATTTAAATCACATTTGGCTCCAAATTTAAATCACATCTAAATCCAAATTTGATTCACACTTGAACCCAAATTCAAATCACACCTACTCCCAAATTTGAATCACACCTAATCCAAATTCAAATCACACCTACTCCCAAATTTGAATCACACCTACCCCCAAATTTAAATCACCAAACCCAAAGCACACCCAGACCCACATTTAAATCACGCCCCTAAATCACTCTGACAACTTTCAATAAATTATTCAACACTAGTAGTATTAATCATAGTAAACTTTAAATATTAATCTTGTCTCCCTACTTTCTATTGAGTAAATAAATTGTCTGAACTTTGATCGCAATTTAACAGATCGCGCAATGAGGTTCTTAACCTCAAGGTCACTGACACGTGTATGTTTAGCTTTCCTTTAAATTCAATAAACGACCACGTACCTCATCATTTTGTTTTGTGTTTTTAGATAATATTAACTCGAGAAGGCTCTAGTTTATCAAACTCTCTCGAATGGAAAGTAACTAAGAAACACAAGATGCTAAGTTCTGGAGTACTACGTGTGAATGACAATCAAATATTTATATTGATTAAAACGGTAGGAACTGGGTTATCCGGTACGCTTTAGAAACTTTACTATTTAATTGCTATCGAAAGATAATCAATGAATTCCAAAATGAGTTCATTGATCAACAGTTATGGAAGTTTAGTCTTTTAATCTTTTCGATCCTTCTCAGAAGATACAACTCGTTGAGTAAACGTTAAATCCACGGTAAATCCACAACAGTTAAATTCACAAAACGACTAAAAAATTTAAGAAAAAGAAAGATGTTCCAGAAGCGAATCCTTTCAGAATTCATACCTCCGCAAATAATATTCTAAACCGAAGGTTAAACTCTCACTAGAAAACCAATATTCCATCCGAACGAAAAAGCTGTTCGAACTCACATCACGAACTTTAACGTTGCATCTCAGCACGTACACTTTGAGGAGTAAAAATCGCACATCGAGAACGGAATATTTACTTCCGTCCAGCGTCGAGTAGACACCAACGAGCCGAGTGCAACAACCCTCCATAACCGTTGGAGTGGTTGCACAACGTTCGACCGGTCGCGTCGCTGCACACGCGAGGTTGAATTCGATGAACGTCGTAACACCGTGAAAAAAAGAGGGTGAGCACTCACCGATGGAGATCTTGTCCGGGTAGGCAGCTGGCAGTAGAACCAAGAGCACGGTGAACGCGGTGGTCATGACGTTCAGGGTGGACATGGGCCTGGCGATCCGTGACGTTTTAACGTTCCTGCTGTTGTTTCCGAGGGTAGAAGACACGACACCGTGAAAAATCGTCGCACGACGCCGCCGACGCGACAAGGGCGGTCCACCCGTTTCGTGAACAACCGGGAGCATCTTCCGTGCTCCGTGGTCTGACACAAACTGGCGCACTTCACTCGGCGTGAACTCGATCCCGCTTGAACCGCCCCAGCATCCCTCTCTCCGACGTTCGCACACCCTCCCCGATCACCCCTCTCGAACCAGCCTCCGTTTAACCAACCCTACCGGCACTACCCTTCTCTACCACGACGCTACTCGTCGTCTCTCTTGTTTCCTCATCGGTCCCTCCACGGATCATGGTCTGGGTGCCATCTCTACCGACCAACCCCGATGTACAACCCTCTCTCGCGCCATCTTTTTATCTCGCTTATTCTGTAACCGGTATTCCTGTCCCTCTCTGCCGGAACGCTACGGTGACGCCGGAATTTTAGGGTGTGTTTCGAACGGAACGGAGAGAGTGCACGGGAAGAGCACGAGCATTCGTTCGGTGGAGTTTTGGAAGCTCGGAGGCTTGTTCGTTTGGGAATTGAATAGTGGGAATTAAAGTGCGGGGAATTGCAACGTCCTGAGCGCTTTTGATGTTGCTTTTGATGACACGCGTTGTGGATGAACATCTGGAATTGAATGGAATTTAAATTGAAATGTTTAAAAGTAAATCGCGTTTGAATTGAAATGCTTGAAATTGAATTAAGTATAAATTGAAATGTCTAGAATTGAGTCATGTACAAATTGATATGCTTGGAATTAAATCACACATGAATTGAAATACTTGGAATTGAATCACGTATGAATTGAAATGCTTAGAATTGAATCAAGTATAAATTAAAATATTTAGAATTGAATTACATAAAAATTGAAATGCTTGGAATTGAATTAAGTACAAATTAAAGTGCTTAGAATTGACTTACATAATAATTGAAATCCTTGGAATTGCATCACGTACCAATTGAAATGCTTGAAATTGACTCATGTATAGAATTGAAACCCTTCGAAATGAATCACCTGTGAATTGAAATATTTAGAATTGAATTACATAAGAATTGAAATGCTTGGGATTGAATTTAGTATAAATTAAAGTGTTTAGAATTTACTTACATAAGAATTGAAATCCTTGGAATTGACTCCCGTAGAGAATTGAAACCCTTGGAATTGAATCACCTGTAAATTGACAAATGTAAAGTCAAACTATGTCGAATTGAAATCTGTCGAATTGAATTGAATAAAGCTAAGTTATATTATATTGATTGTACAAGAGAGCCAAAGAATGTTCGTCTGAATTTAAATTTTATGAAACTGAGCAAGAATGAGTATTTGCTAGTTCAGTGTAAAGACACCCTTACACGACAGAAGTGCACCTCCCGCGATCTCTACCCGAGACGTTCCCTGTTACTTTCTGCGGACAAATACCGATGCACTATTACTCAGTCGGTACTAAAGGGATAAATAACGAAACTGACACTCAAAGATTCAGAAAATTGTGATTGTATAGTTAAGGAATGAGTTATAGAATATACATATCCTCTCGAGTCTATTTGGTACACTGTGTACTTTAACAAATGTCTATTTGGTTAACTCTAGTTGTCTACGCTATTCGTATAATAATGACTCAAATTATAGTTTTACTTTAATATAACAAAACACTATGAATAAATTTATAAATCTGATGAGTTTTGCGCGATTATAACAAGTATAAATGATAAATTTTACCTGGGAGAAGATTTCGTGCAGCAGCGCGTCGGTAAAGCAAGTTCCCGCGAATGCGTCTGAACCAAAATGGCGGTAATACGAGTGTCAAGTAATTGGCGGGAAAATTATTTACACATATAATATTATTGACTTTCCTTTATATTTTCAAATTATGGTGAATAAGTTTCTTAAAATTATCCCCTTATTTAATTAATAATTTCAGACATATAACAATTAATAATTTAATATGATAAAGAATTATCGAATAAATTTTCGAATAATTATATAAGTATATATGTATATTAAAAGAAGCACTAAATAACAATTACAGCCCAAAATATTAAAATAATTCATTCTAAATTATGATAAACATATGTAATTCACTCTAAATGATAAATGTATTTATATATTGTAGCTAATTTCATTTGAAATTATTGAACGATTAATCGAACGGTGACCCGCGCATGCGCACTTATGCGCATCCTTTTTTGTTCACTATACAAAGAGAATGAGAACCTCTGCTTAGTAAGCGACTTATCGGGGAGGTTAGAATGTGGCAAAAGTGACAGATCGTGTGCGAATGATAAATAAGTGATTTTGGCATTCGTATAATTGAAATTTTTATACACAATGGATCCAGCATTGCTCAGAGAGCGGGAACTCTTTAAAAAAAGAGCTCTCAGTACACCAGCGTAAATATTTCATGCCAATTTTCATTTCTAACCTTCATATATGTAGAAAGTATGGTATAGTAAAACATGGAACTTATGTTTATAGGGTAGAGAAGAAGAGAAAGGAACAGGATAAAGATTCTGCACGAGATGAACCTCTTAAAAAGAAACCCAAACCATCCACTGTGTCTACGGGTCCAAAGCTGGACATGGTTAACTACAAAACCATGTCTGGTAGTACCCAATATAAATTTGGTGTCCTAGCAAAAATAGTGAAACACATGAAGACTAGGCATCAAGAAGGAGATGATCATCCTTTAACACTAGATGAAATCTTAGACGAAACAAATCAATTAGATGTTGGATCTAAGGTAAGTGTGGTAATATCTATGAATAACGGTAACAAAATCTAGAACAAATCTGTATTTTTGTTAGGTAAAACAATGGCTTCAAACTGAAGCTCTTGTTAAAAATCCAAAGATCGAAGTTACTTCAGATGGTAGATTTGTATTTAAAGCTATGTATAAAATCAAAGATAAGAAGTCTCTGTTAAGATTGCTTAAACAGCAAGATTTGAAAGGTCTTGGGGGAATATTATTAGAAGATATACAAGAAAGTTTACCGCACTGTGATAAACATTTAAAAGTAAGTAAAGGCATATGTGAAATATTAATATGTTACTTTTGCAGTGATTATAAAATCTAACAATTTCAGAGTCTGCAAAATGAAATATTATTTATAACGAGGCCCATGGATAAGAAAAAAATTGTATTCTACAATGATAAAACTGCCCAGTTTCCAATAGATGACGAGTTTCAAAAGTTATGGAGAGCTGTTGCAGTTGATGCAATGGATGACCAAAAAATTGACGAATATCTTGAGAAGCAAGGTATACGATCGATGCAAGATCATGGTCCCAAGAAGCCAGCTCCAATTAAACGAAAGAAACCGATTAGTAAAAGGAAACAATTTAAGAGGCCAAGGGATAATGAACATTTGGCAGATGTTTTAGAAACATACGATGATGCAAAATAGGTATGACTTCATTTCTGTAAATAATATAAATTTATGACATAAGTGTTAAAGCATAAATGAGAATGATTTATTATTGTACCATTATGTTTATATGAGAATCATCTATTTTGAAATCAAGGCTTTAGCCTTACATATCATCGTGATATAATAAATAGATAAAATATTTATTGTCATAACTTTACCTTATAAGTACAAAATAAATATAGATCAACTAGTACAAGTTTCTGTATCTAAACTACAGTTCGTGTACGTTATATCCATTGTCAGCCTTGCGAGACGAACAAGCCATTCAGTTTTCACATATTGTGGATCTAGTATTTAAATTTTGATTTAACTATGTATATCTTGCGTTACATTTTTACGTGATTTGTATTAAGACAATAAATCTTTTCAGTAAAAAATACGACAACATATTAAAACATTATATACTTAAATCGCTATTGTTAAGATAGAATTATTCTAACGTAAAGCTTCGAAATTTACATAAGTATCGTATAAATAATAAAAATTACATGACACTACATAAATCTTTGGTACTTAAAATTTTACTGATAAGTACTTGTATACATGCATAAAATATGTTATTCTTATCCAGTTGCAGCAACACCTCAAACTTCCTTAAAAACAATCATCACGATAATTTCCCATTTCGTAACAAAAAAATATGGATAGAAAATATGTTCCTCGCGAATTAATCCTTCGGAAGCGCCGAATCGCTTTTCCCTCGCGAATAAGCACGTGTCGCTTTGCTTCCCAGCATTCTATCCAACAACGATTGCTTGTTCCTCCTTCTGGCAGCCAGAACTTCCCGACACAGTTCATGAAACGATTCGGCAACTTGAGTAACCTGAAACAATACGTTGTTTGTTACATTCAAATTATCCACGAAACAAAACTTTTCGCAGGATTCAACTGGTAGAAAGTATATATGTACCTGTTCCGCGGCGGATACTTCACTGAACCAGCATTCGAAGTCTTTCGCCAGTATTTCTCCTTCCTCGGTGCTAACTTGCCTCAAATGAACCATATCAGCTTTGTTTCCAACTAAAGCGAGAGGCATCGTAGCCTCGGGATCAGCCACCGCCAGCGTTTCCTTTGCTTTTCTAACGAAATTAAAGGATGCTCTGTCCGTTATCGAATAGACTAAAAGCAAGCCGTCTGCCCATTGCAAAGTTTCGGTGGATGGCAACTCATCTTCGCTCTAGAACGTCAGAAAAATAGCGACTGAAACTTTGATATTATCTATCATGGAACTACTGTAGGTATACTGATCTTTATTTATACTATAAGAGGATGTTATTAAATTTCTAAATACTTAGGTTCTTTATATACCAAAATTCATAGATTCATATTCTTATCCTCTTATCATCCATATTCTTATATTACTGGTTCCTATAACTATATCTCTCAACTCTGTATTCTCACATCCCCATATCCCTATATCACCACATTCTTATACATATTCCTATACTCCCGGTTATCAATAATTACCTTAGGGCAAGTGTCCAGAATTTCAAAGAGTATAGGTTCACCGTCGACCAGCACCTCGTGTTTGTATCTGTTCTCTAAAAAAAGAAGTCACAAATAATTTTTCAACAATAATGTTCGAGTTATGTAATTTTTTATGTAGAATAGTTTTAATTCGGAGCTGTGAACTGTTTGGTAGATCTTTCTAGTCGAGTCTAGTTTTAGACCGCCGACACGTGCTCGTAAGGAAACCGTCTCGTCTATCGCGTTGCTGTATTTGTACAAAACAAGGAGTTTTGTTCGAGTATCAACCTCGCATTAGTACCCGTCCTGTCTAGTGTCAAATTCGTCTTCGATAAATTTAGACCAGACGCAGCCCAAGGTATGCGTAGGGAGAGTATACGCGGCCTTTGAGGTGGTTTAGCTGTTGGCAATTTTTCAAAATGAAGAAAAAAGGAGATATGGAAAGACACGTTGTATCGTCTACTGACGTTTACTGTCTGTTGACGTTTCGTTGTACGGGAAGCCACATCTTGTAAATTGAGATGTCTCTTACCTGACTGGTGATCATATTCCCCGATGTATCTCTTCGTCAGAAATCTCACTGTCAATGCTGGAACGTAAAAAGAATAATTATTGCAGCTTTTCGAGCGGAATTATCCTGAATACGATTCGATTTTCTATCGGTAACTTTCCTCGTAGCACCGTTTTCATCTATCAGGACAGTAGGTGGACTGTGACACATTAGATTGTGCATTCGTCAATACAAATTCCGTACACATATCTGCTAGAAAGTTATCAACCTACATTTTACCGCCCTATTTCTATCGTTTCTTCTATTATTCGATTAGCTCCAGTTACGTTAGCGAGGGAAACTCTTATTGGAGCAGAGTTTACTCGCGTTTCTTTCAGACACCTTTAGAAATTATAGTTCGAATGCAGCTGTGAATGACGAAATGGTAATTATAGCAGGACCTCAAGTATTTTATTGGCCAAGACCCATTTGCTAAAAGGGGAATTTATCGCAGCGTACACAAGTTTCTAATAAATTATTTTGTAACATTTCAATGTTGCTGCGTGTCACAATTTCTAACTCCGACATTATTTCAATCTCTAACATTTCACAGTCCGGAATTCTGTATTTCCCAGATGCCAAAGCTTCTAAACTGAAATCCTATACTCTTTGCCTGAGATTGAAAAATCCTAAGATCCCAGTTTCAAAATTTCACACTCTCAAAATTTGTAAGTACTAAAATTTATAATTTAAAGTTCCAAAACTGTAAAATCCAGAAATTCTAATATTCTGCAACCACAGCATTCTGAGGCACCCTATCCTAAGTCCCAAACTTCCGAAATTCTAAAATCTCACAACTCTAATTCACTACCCTCTCAATTTGACCCATAATTATCACAGTTTAAATAATTTACCGAAACCATATCCCACATATCCCAGAATAAATTCGCTTAAGTCACACCTCGAAATAAAACAAAAGAAATGAAAAGTATGACGAACTTAATCCCACCGCGTCCCATGCTAATTCCTCAACTTTTATTTTTGAACATTTGCTATAAATCCGAAGTGTCTCGCGATACAATATGAAACGCACCCGTTATGTATCTCGCGTTCGAAAAATACACATGCCTGACTAAGTTTATGCATTCAGTTTCTTCGGCTATAACTCTCTCTCTGTTCGATCTGTTGGAATCAATTTCCAGCCGATATCGCGAAAACGTTACACGATCTTGTTCGATACAATGCACGTTCCAACGTATCGTGATTCGATCGAGAGAAACGAGAGCTACAGCCTAGTGACCCGCTTCGAGGTATACCACACTATTTTTACCTCGAACTCGAACCTGCCGCGGCGCTACAAAACCTTGCAGCGTTCAACGTCACCGTTGTCCACTCTCGAAATTCAATGAAAACTGGCCCCGATTGACCCATCATGTATCGTGTTACAGCTCGATTATTGGAGACAAATTTCGATTCGAAATACATTGATGATTTGACACGTTTATTTTAGAACGTTTTGCTACACCAACAGAAGCTTTTGATCATCGTAGTTTTCGACGAAATTTATTGTGATGCTATATGTAAACTTGTCTGTAATTTTAGTGTAAAATTGGTAACGAATTATGAGGGTGTGTACGTTTGAAGTAAATTGTTAACAAGATTAAATATGGAAGAAAATTATTATAATGAAGTTGGTGTAGTTGCAGAGGTATCAGACTTCAAATCTGGATGTCCACAGATCAAATCCAGTTTGAATGATTTTTTTTTTACAAATAACGTGAAATATTACTACTACGAATATCTAAACTAGTATATATATAATCTGTTTAAATAATATTATTTTTTATTTATTTGTAATGAAACATTTTCATGAATGTACCACCCTGACCAGATGCTTGGTGTCAAGGCGACATCATCATGTACTAAATCAGTTCGATAATTTGTCACGAATTTTGCTTCCTGAAGGAAAGTTTCTGATTATATATTTCCATCCCTTTGGTATATGACCCATCAAGATGTACCATGTACCGAGTCAATATGTAAGAATTTATTTTGAACGTATCGAAATTTTCCAAGGCGTCTAAAATTGTAAAGTGACCAGAGCCTGGACCCCGGAGAGCTCCGGTGATTGACAAGGACGGCTGAACACATCATAGAGAAGAAATTTATTGGCGATCGGGTGTATTTCGTTGATTCGCAGCAACATCATTTGGACGCTTTCCCTCGCGTGGCTCGTTAAAAGTTTGCGGCTCTTCGTGCCAATTTCCTGCGCGGATCAATTCGGCAACCCGAATCAACTTTAACCCCCCTCCTTTCTTTCGACGAAACCGGCAATTACTTGGCAAGTTAAAAATACAGTCGACGAAAACCGCAAGAAAAACATTGCTATCGTATACGATCTGATAGCGATCTCTTTCTCGATTTTATACGACGCGATTCGACGAAATTTTCAAATAAAATCTTTATAAATAGGGTGGGACAATCGTCGGGGTCCAAACAATTATTTATTCTATGCCTTACACGTGCCATTACCAAAAATACACGCGGTTGGCTTCTCTCAGGGTAACCACGTTTCTAGCGCACACACCTATCGCGTGGTCAACCGTTAACATGTGACTTGTGCACTTGTACTTGAATTAACAGCTGGGCCTTTCGTTCTTTCGGCTCATCTTTTTGTGATCGAATGTTTATATACAAGGTACCTCGATATTACACTATATGACATTTTTGTGTTATATATATTATATATGTTGTATGTATTGTACGTATTATATGTGTTATACGTGTGGTACATATTATGTGCTGTACATATTATATGTACTATATGTATTGTACATATTATATGTGTTGTATATGTTGTACATATTATATGTGTTATATGTGTTGTACATATCATATGTGTTATATGTATTGTACATATTATATGTGTTGTATGTGCTGAACATATTATATGTGTTACATGTGTTGTACATATCATATGTGTAATATGTGTTGCACATATTATATGTGTTATATGTGCTGTACATATCATATGTGTTATATGTATTGTACATATTATATGTGTTGTATGTGCTGAACATATTATATGTGTTACATGTGTTGTACATATCATATGTGTAATATGTGTTGCACATATTATATGTGTTATATGTGCTGTACATATCATATGTGTTATATGTATTGTACATATTATATGTGTTGTATGTGCTGAACATATTATATGTGTTACATGTGTTGTACATATCATATGTGTAATATGTGTTGCACATATTATATGTGTTATATGTGCTGTACATATCATATGTGTTATATGTATTGTACATATTATATGTGTTGTATGTGCTGAACATATTATATGTGTTACATGTGTTGTACATATCATATGTGTAATATGTGTTGCACATATTATATGTGTTATATGTGCTGTACATATCATATGTGTTATATGTATTGTACATATTATATGTGTTGTATGTGCTGAACATATTATATGTGTTACATGTGTTGTACATATCATATGTGTAATATGTGTTGCACATATTATATGTGTTATATGTGCTGTACATATCATATGTGTTATATGTATTGTACATATTATATGTGTTGTATGTGCTGAACATATTATATGTGTTACATGTGTTGTACATATCATATGTGTAATATGTGTTGCACATATTACATGTGCTAATATACACTATATTAATATAACTTGATACCTATCAATTTAATTTAAAAAATATTTATCTTATAATTCTACAGAATGTACCATTTTGATGTCTTGTTCAGGAGGACCTGCACCGCCATTTTGTGGTGGACTCCAGTAGGGAGCCTCCCACGTTACGTTCTACATTACTAACGTTTCTTTATTAAATCTTTATGAAACTTGCTTATTATTATTTATATGTACTACTTGTGTTCATGTATACATTGCTTACTATTTATACAATACATCTTGGTTATTTTTTGTGTATACTTTGCTTGTCACTTGCACCTTGCTTATTATTTATGTATACCTTGCTTGTCATTTGTACTTTGCTTATTATTTATGTATACTTTGCTTGTCATTTACATCTTGCTTATTATTTATGTATACCTTGTTTGTCATTTGTACCTTGCTTATTATTTATGTATACCTTGCTTGTCATTTGTATTTTGCTTATTATTTATATACATATACTTTGCTTGTCATTTGCATCTTGCTTATTATTTATGTATACCTTGCTTGTCATTTGTATTTTGCTTATTATTTATATACATATACTTTGCTTGTCATTTGCATCTTGCTTATTATTTATGTATACCTTGCTTGTCATTTGCATCTTGCTTATTATTTATATATACCTTGTTTGTTGTTTATGTACACCTTATATACTTCACTTATTACCCTACTTAATACTCTGCTTGTTATTTATGTGTACATTCCTTATTAGTTACACGTGTTCTCTTATTATTTACATGTACCCTATTCATGTATACTTTTATTTCTATAAAGCTTGTTATTTTATATGTTCGATGCCTACAGCTCAGTATAACGTTAATTAATAAATGAACTCCAGTCGAAAATAAATACAATACTCACCGCTTTTCCCGACTCCTGGCGCCCCGATCACAGCCACTTTTACCTCGCATAGCGAACTCTTCTTTCTTCGGATACCCCTGATCGCATTTGACGTCATGCTCCACGCATTTGTCACTGCACAAACCGTAACAAAAGATCGTAACGTTAGCGAACGCGTCGAATGTGTGGGCTCAGGCTGCCGTGTGTGTTTGCGGACCACAAAAATCTGTCGCGATTACATCTTTCGTTGGCCGGATTCCACGAGCGTCGATTACGCCTCTGAATTTCGTATAAAACATTCGAAAGCGACACACAGGTAACCAGCACTCGTTGCCGTTTGCCAAAGAAAACAACTCCGAGGAAATCTACTCTTGCGATTTTGTTAACGTATCGTAACGTATCACTTTCCATGTTATTCGTTTTTTGCGTAATTTTCGGGGGATTTGGTTTTTAAGACTTTCTTGGATATATTTTATTGGTTTTACAATATGTGCTTTTTAATATATTTTACAGTGTTGTTTATTGGTAGGTAGAGTAATTCTTTGTTGTGTAACTTTATCGATTTTAACATTTTTCAGGTCTTATGAAGAAAGTTTACGAGATTGGAAACTTCGATTTTTCTCAAACTTTGCATAATTGTAAGGAACATTAGAAGTAATAGTTTTGCGGAATAGTAAGGTGCAACTCTTTGAATTGATGGAGAAATGTACGTTCAAGGTTAGAGAGCTTTACCTACTATTACTCATAGATATATAATTTATTATCGCGAGTTAAATCGTCGTGTATTGTCACGCATAAGATTGCCATAAATTGTATCATAACAAGTTAGACCGCCATAATTTATATCGCGATGTATAAAATCGCCATAAGTTGTATCATGACATGTTAGACCACTATAATTAATAACACGACACGTTTTGCAACATGTTAGATCACAAGTTATATCGCAACTTGTTACATTGTAACACGTTAATTCGCCGTGAGTACTACGTGTTATATTGCAATGTAAATGTATTATGGATTCCTTGCATCGCGATGTGTTGTATCGCAACGTGTTTAATCGTCATAACTCGCATTACGATGCACTTTAGTATAACGCGTCGTACAGGCATGTTTAATCACCATAAGTTGCATTACGACGTATCCTATTACATCGCGTTATATTGCAATATGTTTAGTCACCATAAGTTGCATTACGACGTATCCTATTACATCGCGTTATATTGCAATATGTTTAGTCACCATAAGTTGCATTACGACGTATCCTATTACATCGCGTTATATTGCAATATGTTTAGTCACCATAAGTTGCATTACGACGTATCCTATTACATCGCGTTATATTGCAATATGTTTAGTCACCATAAGTTGCATTACGACGTATCCTATTACATCGCGTTATATTGCAATATGTTTAGTCACCATAAGTTGCATTACGACGTATCCTATTACATCGCGTTATATTGCAATATGTTTAGTCACCATAAGTTGCATTACGACGTATCCTATTACATCGCGTTATATTGCAATATGTTTAGTCACCATAAGTTGCATTACGACGTATCCTATCACATCGCGTTATATTGCAATATGTTTAGTCACCATAAGTTGCAGTGTATTACATTGCATCGCTTCGCGTTAAATCGCCATGTTGTATCACAACTCACTGTTTACTGGCGTTTTATATTAGGACTCGTTATATATTGCAATTCGTTGATACCACGCGTTACAGTGCCTTTCAAAAATACACAAATCTTCAAAAACTAGAACATTTGTTGGTGAGCCTAATACATCCCTGCATCGGCAATATATCGAGAGTCTACTATACGTTACGAAATAACACAGAATGAACTCAACTGTATTTTTTATCCAAATAGCAGGTATTGATTAAACTGATTTTTCGATGAGGCTAAAATACCATCGCATCGGCAATATATCGAGAGTCTACTATACGTTACGAAATAACACAGAATGAACTCAACTGTATTTTTTATCCAAATAGCAGGTATTGATTAAAATGATTTTTCGATGAGGTTAAAATACTACCGGATCGGCAATATATCGAGAGTCTACTATACGTTACGAAATAATACAGAATGAACTCTAACTGTATTTTCTATCCAAATAGCAGGTATTAATTAAAATGATTTTTCGATGAGGCTAAAATACCACCGCATCGGCAATATATCGAGAGTCTACTATAATTGCGGTACCAAATAATGCAAAATAAATTCAATTGTTTTTATTCCCAAATCAAATAGCAGGTATTGATCAAAAAAAATTTTCAATGAGCCTAAAATACCAATGCATCGGCAATATATTGAGAGTCTACTACGATTACGTTACAAAATAATACAGAATAAATTCAATAGCTTTTATACGCAAGTCAAATAGCAGGTATTGATCAAAATGATTTTCAATGAGCCTAAAATACCAATGCATCGGCAATATATTGAGAGTCTACTACGATTACGTTACAAAATAATACAGAATAAATTCAATAGCTTTTCTACGCAAGTCAAATAGCAGGTATTGATCAAAATGATTTTTGATGAGCTTAAAATACCACTGCATCGGCAATATATCGAGAGTCTACTATAACTCCGTTACCAAATAATACAGAATAAATTCAATTATTTTTATTCCGAAATCAAATAGCAGTCATTGATCGAAATGATTTTTCAATGAGCCTAAAATACCACCGCATCGGCAATATATCGAGAGTCTACTATAACCACGTTACGAAATATTACAGAATAAATGCAATTGTTTTTCTAGCCAAATAGCAGATATTGATCAAAATAACCTGTCAATTTAACAAACAATTCCAGAATCAATACTGCATTTCTTCAGGACATTTTGTTAATTAAAATTTGACAGACCACAATGAACGAACAAATTGTATTAATTAATTCCACGAGAGAAGAACGAAATTTTCACCGACTCTCAATTTGTACATTTCGATGTTGAAGAGGTCGACGTTTCCAAATATCCTGCACGCGGTTCCATTTACCGGCTGTCTCGTGTCTCCCCTTGGTCGGGATCAAAACGAGATCAGCCGAGGCGTTTCGCCTCGTGTTCCTCTTCGAACGAAAGTTTAAATACAGTCGACGTCTTTGGATGAAAGAAATGAGGGGAACGGTGAAAAGCCGGCGGAGAAAGAAGCGGCATCGAGGTGCGTTCGAGCCTCGTGGAACGAAGAAGGCTCGACTCGATGGTTACATTAATAGAACAGTTCGCACATGTTCCGTGGAATCTCAAGAATTTACTCTGGCGTCTAACGATGTACCATCATAGCACGTAAGTGGCGTTAAGGCTAGATCAGGCTCCCTGCGGATCTATGAGCCATCGTGTTTTCGTGGCTCCCGAATTTATTCGTGTACGTCTACGAATTGCAGACTTTTCTTGGAAAGCATACGTTGTTGATGTAACTCATTTGCAAACAATATGTACAAGGATTAAGGGAAATCTTCACGGGTTAAGATGGGTAATGGCTGAGAAATTAAACTTCGACTGTCTCGTAAATGCGTACTCTCGAAATTAAAATTTTACTGTTCTAATAAAGTATTTGAGATTGTACGTTTAATTGTATTTGAGAGATGGTACGCTTAATTATATTTTAGAGAGATTGTACATGGTTATGTGTATTTTGTTTATTTTTTCTTGCTTTATTTTGTTTTTCTTTGAAGAACATATTTTCAGATGAGGATAAAACTGTTTTCGAGTTAACACGTGTTCCTTTTTCCATTGCGTGTGAAAGTAAATTCACTTCAAATGATTTGTAATAATTTCATGTATGATAGGTGGCAATATAACGTCTAGTAATTTCGTATACGGCGATATATTGTATAGAAATTCCACATATGGCGATATAACGTGTACTGGTTCCACACATGGCGATATAACGTGTGGCAATACCTCACGTGGCAATATAACGCATAGAAATTCCATACGTGGTGATATAACACGTAGAAATATTACTCGCGCTGATATAACGCATAACAAGTCCATACGCTGCAATATAACGCGTAGCAATTCCATGCACTGCAATATAACGCGTAGCAATTCCAGGCGCTGCAATATAACGCGTAGCAATTCCAGGCGCTGCAATATAACGCGTAGCAATTCCAGGCGCTGCAATATAACGCGTAGCAATTCCAGGCGCTGCAATATAACGCGTAGCAATTCCAGGCGCTGCAATATAACGCGTAGCAATTCCAGGCGCTGCAATATAACGCGTAGCAATTCCAGGCGCTGCAATATAACGCGTAGCAATTCCAGGCGCTGCAATATAACGCGTAGCAATTCCAGGCGCTGCAATATAACGCGTAGCAATTCCAGGCGCTGCAATATAACGCGTAGCAATTCCAGGCGCTGCAATATAACGCGTAGCAATTCCAGGCGCTGCAATATAACGCGTAGCAATTCCAGGCGCTGCAATATAACGCGTAGCAATTCCAGGCGCTGCAATATAACGCGTAGCAATTCCAGGCGCTGCAATATAACGCGTAGCAATTCCAGGCGCTGCAATATAACGCGTAGCAATTCCAGGCGCTGCAATATAACGCGTAGCAATTCCAGGCGCTGCAATATAACGCGTAGCAATTCCAGGCGCTGCAATATAACGCGTAGCAATTCCAGGCGCTGCAATATAACGCGTAGCAATTCCAGGCGCTGCAATATAACGCGTAGCAATTCCAGGCGCTGCAATATAACGCGTAGCAATTCCAGGCGCTGCAATATAACGCGTAGCAATTCCAGGCGCTGCAATATAACGCGTAGCAATTCCAGGCGCTGCAATATAACGCGTAGCAATTCCAGGCGCTGCAATATAACGCGTAGCAATTCCAGGCGCTGCAATATAACGCGTAGCAATTCCAGGCGCTGCAATATAACGCGTAGCAATTCCAGGCGCTGCAATATAACGCGTAGCAATTCCAGGCGCTGCAATATAACGCGTAGCAATTCCAGGCGCTGCAATATAACGCGTAGCAATTCCAGGCGCTGCAATATAACGCGTAGCAATTCCAGGCGCTGCAATATAACGCGTAGCAATTCCAGGCGCTGCAATATAACGCGTAGCAATTCCAGGCGCTGCAATATAACGCGTAGCAATTCCAGGCGCTGCAATATAACGCGTAGCAATTCCAGGCGCTGCAATATAACGCGTAGCAATTCCAGGCGCTGCAATATAACGCGTAGCAATTCCAGGCGCTGCAATATAACGCGTAGCAATTCCATACGTGGCAATATAACGCGTAGCAATTCTACACGTGGCAATATAACGTATAGAAATTCCATGCGTGGTGATATAATGCGTAGCAATTTCATACGTGGTGATATAACGCGTAGCAATTCCATACGTTGCAATATAACGCGTAGCAATTCTATACGCGGCAATATAGCGCACGAGTGAAAATTTGAAAAATTGCTGAATTGGTAAATTAAGTAATTGAGTAATTGAAAAATTGAAAAACTGAAGAATTGCAAAATTGAAAAAGTGAAAAATTAAAGAATTGAAATTTGCACCATAAACCCCCGACCCAAAAACCAGAAAATTTACTTACGAATTTCAATCCAGCAAAATCAGCAATTTCACACGTGCAACATCCACCAAATTCGCGAACGATAAAATCCGTCCGATAAAAATGTTGAATTTCATCGGAAGCTGTTAAAGGCCCCGTTTCCATCGTCCGAAAATCGATAACATTAACCGCGCAACATTTTTGCAACTACAGCCCGCCTATTTTAACGTTCAAAGACAATGAAGCGGCTCATGCATAAACTTCATAAAGCGTAAACAAAGAACGTTCTAATTTAATAAGTAAGTCAAGGTACCGATCGATCACTCTCCAATACGATTTCCAATAACTGTTAAGAACCTTAGTTTATTTTTGTCGCTCGGTGAACGCGATCGCACTTACCAGTCGGTCAGAACACAACCGTTGTATCACTCCCTCGGCATTCCTCGAAACACTTTCTATCAGCTCGTACGACCGGCGAACATAACAGCCTCTCGTGTAAGTTAGTCGATTTCGCGGCGGACAACGTTTTAACCCGTTAACGGCTCCGCAGGGAATCGAATCGGTAGAGTATCGATATCGGGAATCCACGAGTGTCAACGATCGATCCGACGCGCGTGAGATCACGTGTTTCCTGACAATAGCCGTGGTTCCGTTGCGTGATCCAACTCGCTTCTTGGTCTCCGAGCGACTGTCTCTCCCCATTCTCTTTTGGCGGCTTTGGCTCCGCGAGCCGGGCCTTCTTTATTGCTCGCTCGAGCCACGTACCAGCGATATTCACTTCCGGCGCGGGAGTGCGCACCAACCAGAAGAAGCCCGTGTTTCGACAACTTCTTCTGCACCTCGCCCACTGGCCACAAATCGACACAAATATTGACTGCCTCGATCCGCCGCGCGATCGTAAAATAATTCACGGAACCCTGCCAATGTTTCTTCCGGATACGAACCGGATGTCTGTTAACCGACCGGCAACGCAACCGGCAATCGTTATTTACGTGCACCATAAAACTATACGCCCGAGTGTCTTATGTACAAATGGAAATTCCACGGATCCTTAAATTCTTAGATTCCTGGATTTACATATCTCTATTTCTCGTGACCTAAAATTTTTTTATTATTATACACTGTGGTCTCTCCTGAAATGCCTATATTTCTACATTTCTAGATTCCTAAATTTCTATATCTCAAGATTTAACAATTTTTGCATCTGAAGATTTAACAATTTTTTGGTCACTGATGTTCTCTGATTTCTATATCTGTAGATCGCTGGATTTGCAGACACTTACATCCCTAGATCGCGAGATTTTTATGTATCTATATCCCTAGATTTCTACATCCCTAGATTACTATATTCCTACATCCCTAGACCCCTACATCCCTAGACCCCTATATCCCTAGACCCCTACATCCCTAGACCCCCTATATCCCTAGACCCCTATATCCCTAGACCCCTATATCCCTAGACCCCTATATCCCTAGACCCCTATATCCCTAGACCCCTATATCCCTAGACCCCTATATCCCTAGACCCCTATATCCCTAGACCCCTATATCCCTAGACCCCTATATCCCTAGACCCCTATATCCCTAGACCCCTATATCCCTAGACCCCTATATCCCTAGACCCCTATATCCCTAGACCCCTATATCCCTAGACCCCTATATCCCTAGACCCCTATATCCCTAGACCCCTATATCCCTAGACCCCTATATCCCTAGACCCCTATATCCCTAGACCCCTATATCCCTAGACCCCTATATCCCTAGACCCCTATATCCCTAGACCCCTATATCCCTAGACCCCTATATCCCTAGACCCCTATATCCCTAGACCCCTATATCCCTAGACCCCTATATCCCTAGACCCCTATATCCCTAGACCCCTATATCCCTAGACCCCTATATCCCTAGACCCCTATATCCCTAGACCCCTATATCCCTAGACCCCTATATCCCTAGACCCCTATATCCCTAGACCCCTATATCCCTAGACCCCTATATCCCTAGACCCCTATATCCCTAGACCCCTATATCCCTAGACCCCTATATCCCTAGACCCCTATATCCCTAGACCCCTATATCCCTAGACCCCTATATCCCTAGACCCCTATATCCCTAGACCCCTATATCCCTAGACCCCTATATCCCTAGACCCCTATATCCCTAGACCCCTATATCCCTAGACCCCTATATCCCTAGACCCCTATATCCCTAGACCCCTATATCCCTAGACCCCTATATCCCTAGACCCCTATATCCCTAGACCCCTATATCCCTAGACCCCTATATCCCTAGACCCCTATATCCCTAGACCCCTATATCCCTAGACCCCTATATCCCTAGACCCCTTATATCTCTAGATCCCTACATTCCTTGACTTCCAAGCTTCAGTATCCCTAGAGTCTTAGATTAGAAATCTAAAAACAGCTAAATTAGTACACAATATCCCTAGATCCTTAAATTTTCTGACCACTGTATCCCTAGATCAGATTCAAAGATTTCTACATAACTACCACTATATCTCCAAATCTCAATATTTACAAAATTTTCCCCAGATGCAAATGTACCCAAATTCCTATAACTCCATATCAAACTCAAAGTTAACTCAAAGTTAACATATCGTTAAGCTGTCAAATTTTCATATCAGTAACGATGATTTCAAAAAGATTTATAAACCTATATCCCTAGATCGTGAGACCACTATATCCGTAAAATATTTATTTAAATTTACATCTTAAATTATAGTTTTCCATTCGTAAATTAATCTGTCATACCATAGTTTCATATTCTTAAATTGATCTTTCAAATTATAGTTTCAGATTCCTAAATTAACCTTTCAAATTACAGTTTCACATTCTTAAATTAATCTTTGAAATCATAGTTTCGCGTTCTTCAATTAATCTTTCAAATTATAGTTTCAGATTCCTAAATTAATCTTTGAAATTATAGTTTCACATTCCTAAATTAATCTTGAAAATTATAGGTTCAGATCTCTAAATTAATCTACCAAATTACAATCTGATATTCTTGAATTAATCGATCAAATTACGGTTTCGAATTCTTGAATCAGATTATAGTTTCACATTTCTAAATTAATCTTGCAAATCATTATTTCATATTTTTAAATTAATCTTTCATATTCCATGTATTAATCTTTCATATTAATCTTTCTTCCATATATTAATATTTCATATATTAATCTTTTAAATGCACTGCTTTATGTACCACATTTACATCAAAAGACAATGATTGAATAAATATATCATATTATAAGAAGCAACATAAAAAACAACCGAGTGTTCAGTTATTTGTTGGACAATTAACAAGCGGTCAAGTACGAGACTTTTATTATTTATTCAAAATAGCAACCTCAGTGGTGAAAATTGATAGAAATGATTTTCGTACAATTTTTGAGAGAGACTCGATATAGTAGAATTCTTATTTTGCCGACGGTTCGAGTGCGTGACAATGAATAGGTTGTTAATTAGTGGAGCCACTCGCTGTTGTCTTCGTGGTTCTCTTCCTTTCCGACTTTCGTGCACTTCGACGCCTCTGGACAACCACCGAATATCCAATTTACTGCTCGCAGTAATGCAGGTTTCACTCGGTCTGAATCAGTCATATAATTTCATTACGTTAATTAATTAATTATTATGTAGCTTTATATGAATATTTAATAGCCTTTATATATATATGAGCAAACACAGGACAGTCACTTAACGAACTACAATTAAGAAAGCATTTATTTTTTGTATTTAATAGACTAAAATAAAATAATGTATTTGTTTTTTGTTTTTAACTGACTGAAATAAAAAAAGCATTTGTTTTTTTACTTTTAATAGACTAAAATAAGATAATGTATTTATTTTTAGTATTTAACTGACTGAAATAAAAAAATTGTTTGCTTTTTGCACTTAACTAACTGAAATGAAAAAAAAAACATTCGCTTTTTACATTTAACTGACTGAAATACAGAAAGCATATGTTTCTTGCACTTAATAGATTAAAATAAACTGACTAAGCTGACTAAAGTAACTGAGTAAATACATTACGTATTATATATAAATTTTCTTAAAAAAAAATCATTTTTCATTTACAAAAAGTTGAACTTACTTTTCAAAATAGGTTCAGAACCAAAATCCTCGCAAACGTGCTCGAAGATGGAATCCTCCGAACTTTTCATGTATAAATAATTCTCTCTCTGAGGTTTCTCGTCAAGATCATGTTTCCTAGTAATTCGTTCTCCATGATGAGAAATTTCGTCGTCAGCTTCTGCACTTCGATCGGTGAAATAAGGAACGTCATTACAGTCAAAACCTTTCGACGAATTACTGGTTTTAGACTTCTGTCTCCTGCACGTGTTTTCGTATCGGTGTCCATTTTCTTCACACTTGTGGAGACAATAAATTAATAAGTAAATAAGTGAATAAGCAAATATGCAAATAAGTGTATAAGTAAATAAGTAAATAAGTAAATAAGTAAATAAGTAAATAAGTGAACAAGTAACTAAGTAAATAAGTATAATTTAAATTATAATAAATAATATTTATCCTATTTTCAGTTTTAACGAGTCCAAAGATATTTTTAAATTGTCCTTCAATTTTTCCCTGAGATTATTGATAAAATTATGTGCTAAAAATAAAGCTACTTAATAAAAATAAAAAAAGACAATTTTGTTCCTGAACTCATTAAATAATTTTAAAGAATTATTAACAGTCAAAATGATAAAATTTTTAATTATTTGCTTGCATTTAAAGGTAACCTTGACCACAGTTCAAGAGTAAATAAAAATTTAAGCATTTCCTTGATTAAATAACTCGAATTATTTTCCTTAATAAACTTGAATTACCTCATGAAAATCTGTGCTCTCCTTTCGAAAGTCAACTTTGCGATTATTTAAACTACTCGACTTCATAAAACGACCATCTTCGTGATTGTACTTGGCGTAACTTGTGACATGCAAGTTTCCGTTGTTCTCTTCTGTCATTTCGTGCAGCTTTGAGCTCATCGTACTTCGAGATCTGTAACGAACAAGTTTCGAAAGATTTATAATATTAATATTGTTAGAGGTTTTATCAATTCGATAATAGTTAATTACTTTAGTACATTCTTTGTGTCGGATGAAGTAGCGAGAATGTCTCTGCTGTTTAACTCGACCGAAGGTGTGAAACATTCGTTGCCGCAACATTCTCCACCACATTGGTACTGACTTTTGTAAAATGGTTTACTGACGGAACATTTAGAATCTCCTTCGGGTATGGAACTCAATTCGACGTCCTTAACGTATGATTCCATTGCCTAGAATAGCATAAAAGGCATAATTAATCAATTATCTTCATTAATTTAATCATTCTGTAGTTCTGTTACGAGTCAGAGAAAACAGATTGTTATTGTATAGTAATTTAGGAATTTGAAAATATTTTGCAAGGTTTATTAATAATAATAAATTACAATTTATGTATAATAAAATAAATATCAGTTTGTTGTAAAATAACTAATTTAAGAAATTGTATTTTAAAAGCCTCATTCGTATACATGGGGTCTCGCAACTATTGTAGGTCCCTGTATATTTATTTGAGAGGTCGTTTTGAATAATTGTATTAATAGTACCATGAAGCGACGAGTGATATCTGATCAAAAATTGCGACTTTCGATAAAACTTCGACATAAAACAAATTTTGTAAATAAGCTCTTTTTTTGTATAAGAAAATGCCTATGAAAATGGTTTTTGGCGTCTCGAAAATTTGTCATTCCCTGTATCACCGACGAAATACAGCTTCAAGTGTATACTTCGCCGAAGAGATGGCGACACTTTTTCCTAAAAAATTCAAACACTGATTTTATTAATTTAATTTCGTATTGATACGCATCAAATAACGGCGGAGTGCAAGACTAATTAACTTCGGAATATTTTGATTTTACCAAAACATTATCATTTTTGAACAATTCTTAGGGTAATAAGATTTCCCTGTTATGTGTCGCCATCTAGCGGTAGAATAAGGGAATTAATGAAACTACAGTTTCAAATGCGTGTAATTCACCCTGTTCGCCGAAGAGATGGCGCCACTTGCCCAATTTTCGAAAAAACTCATTATTTTACAAAAAATGCATTTTTTATAATTAATTTTCAATAGTAATTTTACAGAAAAACTCGTTATTTTACAAAAAATTCATTGCTTTAAAAAAAACTGCTATTTTTGATTCTTATATTTTTAAATCTCACTGCTAAATACCTCTAATTGCACTCTTTTCAGATAGAATCCAGATAACACTGAAATTAATGATATATAGAGACTTGTACATGTGATACACTTTTAGCTCAGCAAGGTGATTATTTATTTTATTCTACGTTATTCAATTGAATAGTTCGTTTACTTGATATTACCAGTTCTGTTGCATTGTTGTAATCTCTAGTAGGTCCTTCATGTTCCGAACCTGAGATTTCTGCTAAGGCCGACAATTTTTCAGTCGAAGTTCCACATTCTTTGTATTTTAATTTTAGATAAGGATCCTGAACAATGATAACGTCATCTTTCACGCATTTGTCGTCTAACATTGCCATTTGTCGCGGATTTCCACTGTAATGATCAAATCAGAAGAAATTTTAAATATTGGACACTCGAGTTCGAACTCAAAATATTCCCAAACCCCTAAATCCTCAAATCTTTACGTCCTCAATGCCCGAACTCCCTAAATCCCTAAATCACTAAAGCTCCAAACTCCGAAATCTACATATTTTCAAACCCATAAATCTTCAAATCTTTAAGCTTCCAAATCTTCACGTCCTCAATGCCCCAAGTCTCTAAATCCTTAAATCACTAAAGCTCCAAATTCCGAAATCTACATATTTTCAAACCCATAAATTTTCAAATCTTTAAGCTTCCAAATCTTCACGTCCTCAATGCCCGAACTCCCTAAATCCCTAAATCACTAAAGCTTCAAACTCCGAAATCTACATATTTTCAAATCCATAAATCTTCAAATCTTTAAGCTTCCAAATCTCCACGTCCTCCATGCCCCAAGTCCCTAAATCCCTAAATCACTAAAGCTCCAAATTCCGAAATCTACATATTTTCAAACCCATAAATTTTCAAATCTTTAAGCTTCCAAATCTTCACGTCCTCAAATCCCCCACTCCCTAAATCCAAAAATCTCAAACCTCCGCAACCTTCATATTCCCAAACCCCTAAACCCCTAAACCTTCATGTCTCTAACTCCACAACCCCCTAACTCCCTAAATCTCAAACCTCCGCAACCTTCATATTCCCAAACTCCTAAATCCCCAAATCTTTAAACTCACGAATCTTCATAACCCCATCACCCCAAATCCCTAAAAATCTCGAAATCCTCAAATTTCTCCATCCTCTAATTCCCAAATTCTAGAATATCAACGTCCACTTAAATTCGCACCTAATCAAAAGTGCATAATTTTCAAGCGTGGCGTCACTCAGTCGTTTTCCATTGTACAAGTCACTCCTAAAATATTTTTGCAGGTCCTCCAATTTGTCCGAATAAAAGTAGACCGGTTTTACAATTTCGCTTGAAGGATCACCAGAAATTTCTTTAATAATGCTGCTGCGTAGACGTTGACGAGACTGTCGATGCTCCTTGCTATGTTTCGCGTTTATTTTTTTCTTTTCTCTGCCCCTGTCAAACATTAAATGTCAAAGTAATATCATACAAGTTCAAAACAAGGAATATCAAACAAATTTCACTTCCTCTTTTACTAACACATTGTACGATATATTACTTATAATTCTCAGATTATAATTAATAAAACTTATTACTCATGTATCTCATCATTTATTACTTATCGATTAACTTCATCAACTGACCCTATAGGTAATCCATCACCGTCGACGAACATTTTCGCCCTCTTTCCCTGACTCCTGTGCACGTACCTAAAATCCTCATCGTCGACCGCGACCTCCTTCGACACACGTTTCTGAGCAGCCAAATTTTGCTCGTATCGAATACGATGACATTTCGATTTGATCTTCTCGTACATTTCATCGTCCTCAGCAGTGCCTAACACGGATTTCAGAACGTTCGCTGTGATGTCGATCAAGGAATAGCAAATTCTACGCGCGTCTGTCAACAGAAGAAAATATATTTAATTTGTTGCAAATTTGCGAATTTATATTGATAACAATTTAGGGATACTTTGGAGGTTTTTGGAGAATTGGTGATTTGGGGAATTTAGGCATTTTGGGATTTTGGGACTTGAGAATTTGGGGATTAGGGAATTTGGGGATTTTGGGATTTAGGGATTTAGAGATTTAGGGATTTGGCGATTTGGAGATTTGGAGATTTGCAGATTTGAAGATTTAGGGATTTGGGGATTTGAAGATTTAGGGATTTGGGGATTTGGAGATTTGAAGATTTGCAGATTTGAAGATTTAGGGATTTGGGATTTGGAGATTTGCAAATTTGCAGATTTACAGATTTGAAGATTTAGGTATTTGGGGATTTGGAGATTTGAAGATTTGAAGATTTAGGGATTTGGAGATTTGCAGATTTGAAGATTTAGGGATTTGGAGATTTGGAGATTTGGAGATTTGGAGATTTGGAGATTTGAAGATTTAGGGATTTAGGGATTTGGGGATTCAGGGATTTGAAGATTTGGTGATTTGGAGATTTAGGGATTCAGGGATTTGAAGATTTGGAGATTTGGAGATTTGGAGATTTGGATATTTAGGGATTCAGGGATTCAGGGATTTGAAGATTTGGAGATTTAGGGACTTAGAAATTTTGGATTTCTCAGAGTACAGTACAGTATTCACTCCGTAAATGTTAAAAAGATTTTTACCGTAAATGTTACAATCGAGAAACCGGCAAAAGTAACATTTACGGAGTGAATACTGTAATGTGAAAATTTGGACAAGTTCCAATTTGCATATTTGGAGATTTGAAAATTTAGCCCTTCTGAGAATTTGGAAATATAGAAATTTGTGTAGTTTGCAATTTATATATTTAACTACTTGGGAATACAAGAATTTGTATATTCAGTGATTTGGAAGTTAGAAAATTAATTTCAACTTGGAATTTGGAAATTCCTCCATTCCCAAAATCACTATTTCACTAATGCATAATTAAAGAAACATTATGTCCCAAAGTTCACCTACTATAATCTAATACAACCAATACCTCAATCAACACATATCATATCAGTAATAACAAAGATCCCAATAATCCCTCAAACGTTAGACCCAAGATCACCTACACTTCACATACTACTACACATAAACTTGATGTCACCTGAGGCATCCATCAACTTCTCAACTTCACATATCTAAAATTAATAGCTTCAATAAAATCTACCAATTGCAATAACCCAATATATGATCCATAATCTATTAACAGTAATCCAATAGTGATCTACCAAATTATACAGTGATACTTCACTTAACAACTTCACTTAACAACCGAACCGGTCAAATGACCGCTCCACAAGTTTCTTATTATAAAGTACACATTTTGTTAAAGTACATTCCTTATCATCAGCATTGATTGTCATCAAGATAAAGAATGGATGTGTGTACTAATTTATGTTTCATCGTTTGTTTATTTATTTTTTAACTTCATTTTTAATTTCCAATTATGTACACATTATAAGTCGGTAGGTTTAATGTTAAAAAACTACACGACAATCATGAAAGTCGCTGATTTTCATTACTCACGTGGTCGTGATTCCGGAATGTAATACAGAACGACACCGGCTAGCATAAACCCCACGATAGCCAGACGTTTCAGATAACCGATCCAGCCGAACACGCTGAACGTCTCCTCGGGATAATCTGGCGAACAGAGACGGAAGTTACATACATCACGATGCCAACACACTTTCACTTACTGTCGCTGTTCCAGGATTTCGCAGCCGCGCACTGTAACACGTGCGCGATCAGAACCGGCAGCAGGAATTTCATGTTCCTGGCGAACGAGCCGGACAACCGTTCTTCGTCCGTTGCTTTTTCGACGGATGCTTACGTGAGGATCGTCATGTTCGTAGCAGCATAGCGAACGGAAGGTGGCAACGGAGTTCATCCTCGATCATAACGTTAGCGAATTTCACTTCGATATGTGTTGCGAGTGTAACGGTTGTAACGGTAAGGTGAATTGTTGGGTAACTGGGAATCTGATCGTTTGAACGTAATAATCAATGATGTTCAAAGATGAACAAAGATGAATAAACATGATCAAACATGATCAAATGTGGTCAAAGTTGATCAATGATAATCAATGATATTCAAAGATGAGCAAAGATGATGGAACATGATCAAATATGAACAAACATGATCAAAGATGTTCAACGATGTTCAATGATGTTCAATGATTTTCAATGATGTTCAAAGATGAACAATGATGTACAAAGATGTTCAATGATGTTCAATAATTTTCAATGATAAAAATAAACAAAGATGTTCAATGACGTTCAATGATGTTCAATGATTTTCAATGATGTTCAAAGATGAACAATGATGTACAAAGATGTTCAATGATGTTCAATAATTTTCAATGATAAAAATAAACAAAGATGTTCAATGACGTTCAATGATGTTCAATGATTTTCAATGATGTTCAAAGATGAACAATGATGTACAAAGATGTTCAATGATGTTCAATAATTTTCAATGATAAAAATAAACAAAGATGTTCAATGACGTTCAATGATGTTCAATGATTTTCAATAATGTTCAAAGATGAACAAAGATGTCCAATGACATTCAATGATATTCAATGACATTCAATGATATTCAATGACATTCAATGATATTCAATGACATTCAATGATATTCAATGACATTCAATGATATTCAATGACATTCAATGATATTCAATGACATTCAATGATATTCAATGATGTTCAATGATGTTCAAAGATGAACAAAGATGTTAAATGATGTTCAATGATGTTCAAAGATGAACAAAGATGTTAAATGATGTTCAATGATTTTCAATAATGTTCAAAGATGAACAAAGATGTTCAATGACATTCAATGATATTCAATGATGTTCAATGATGTTCAAAGATGAACAAAGATGTTAAATGATGTTCAATGATTTTCAATAATGTTCAAAGATGAACAAAGATGTCCAATGACATTCAATGATATTCAATGATGTTCAATGATGTTCAAAGATGAACAAAGATGTTCAATGATGTTCAATGATGTTCAAAGATGATCAAACATAATTGAATATGATCAAAGATGATCAAACATGATCAATGATAATTAATGATGTTCAAAGATATTCAAAGATGACAAAAAATGTTCAAGCATGTTCAAAGATGTTAAAAAATTATCAATGATAATCAATGATGTTCAAAGATGATTAAAAATGTTAAAATATGTTCAAAGATGTTAAAAAATTATCAATGATAATCAAAGATGTTCAAAGACAATTGTACATGACCAAAGACAATCAAATTTGTATTAAGATAATCAAGTTTGTAACAAAAATAATTAAATATGCTAAAAAATATATAATAAATATGATCATTGATATTAACAATAAAAATGATTATTGATTACTCAAGATCAAATTAAGAATTTAATTTTCACTTATGAAAAAGTTTCAATAAACCATTGAATATTAATTGTTCATTAATAAAACCTTTAACTAAAGTTGTCTTTTAATCTTCAATTCAGCGAAACCAAATTTAATAACCAATTTCAAATACATTAAATAATGATGAATTATTAAAACTAAATTTGTGTTTCTCAATTAATTAAACATTCAATCAATCATTTCTTACTTGTTGTTATTTGTTAATTGTTATAAAAACAGACAAAAGTTTATTGTTTACAAGGAAGACACTTTTGCTCTTGTTCTGAATTTTATTGTTCTTTTTTTTAATTCAGTCACAAAATTTCATTCACAAATTAAAAATAAATTGGACGATCTTTTATTAAGAGAGGAAGATACTTTTTTCGTGTGGTTCTAATTTTACTGTTCGAGGTTATGCGGAATCCGTGTCGATTTGGCGCGTGTCTAAATATTGAACAAGGACAGAAAACCTACGTCTATACGCGAACATAGTTGGAATAATATTGCGACTTTTTTGGTATTTCTAAAATTAACACTGTCGCATATCGAGATCGCAGTCAAAGATACACAACTGGTATCGACGTATGAATATGTAATTTTTGCGAAGACTACGAACTCTTCTTAAAATAAATGGAATTTACGATTGAAATGAGGAAGATAGATATTTAGATAAAACGAACCGTAAGAGTAACCTTATTTCTTAACTGTTTCATAGTTTGTAATTAGTACAGGGTCTTTATTTCTAATTGTCAAATATCTTTTGGTTGATAGTGGTAGTAGTTGATGATTAAAGATGGCGTTGCTGGAGATCGATTATTCGAAATGGAGAAATTTTCAAAGTTAAACGTTTTTAAGTTCAAGAATTATTGAGGAATTAATTGTAGTTTAGGAAATTTTGCAGTTGTAATTTTTAAGGTTTTAAAATTTGCAATTCTTCACTTTTTCATGTTTTCAAGTTTTTAAGTTTTAAAATTTTTAAGTTTTCAAGTTTTAAAATTTTCAATTTTTCAATCTATCAATCTTTCAATTTGTCAATTTTGCAATTTTTCAATCTTTCAATCTTTCAATTTTTCAATTTCTCAAGTTTTCAAATTTTTGAGTTTTCAAGTTTTCTAGTTTTCTAGTTTTCTAGTTTTCTAGTTTTCTAGTTTTCTAGTTTTTAATTTTTTAAGTTTTCAATTTACAAATTTTCAGATCTTTAGATTCTCAAATTTAGAATTTCATAGACATCCAAGTTTTCAAACGAAGAAAAGTTCAATACTGTTCAAAGTTATGTTTTCAATTTTCGTACTTGAAAATCTTCATATTACTAAATTGTAAAGTTCATAAATTTCCAAGTTCTCAAATATTAAAATTACAGAGTGTACTGTAACAAAATTTACTAAAGACCCTATCATACGATTAATACAAACATACAATTGCACATTACCTTTGATTATTATATTTGATATGTATACATATGATTATTATATTTGATTATATAAAATGATTTTTATAAAATTCTTAGAAAATATCTAGAGACATAGGTGAAGATAAACAAACACATATAAGATTCATATCTTAGGCTTTTATTATGCTCTGAGTACTTTACAATATAATACAAAGGAAATCTAGCGCGTCATTTTCGTACGCATTCGAACAGGAGACAAAGTATTTGGTACGAGTTAGCAACAGGGTAAACAATTGGTGCAGGGTGCACAAGCAAAGGACTCGCACTACACGCTAAACGGTGCGTCTCTAACATACCTAACATTGATTCGTGACTTCGTTATCGAAGTTATTTTCATCAATACTAAATCTAAATTCTCAGGAAACAACGGCAATACTCTGTTCTTTAAACTATTCTTTTCATGTCGTTCATTTCTTGCTTTCAATCAGCTTTGTTACAAATTTCAACAACTTTCATTGTTTCAGTCACTAATTTTTATTGGAAACTTGTTCGTCTTGGGACATTTTTGTCACAAGTTTCGTTAGCTTTGATCATCTTTGTTGCAAATTTGATCAATGATCATCTTTGTTAGAGGTTTGATCACCTTTGATCAGCTTTGTTACAAGTTTGATCACCTTTGATCATCCGAGACACACAAATTTGATCATCGATCATCTTTGTCACAAATTTGATCATCTTTGATCATCTTTGTCAGAAGTTTGATCACCTTTGATCATCTCAGTCACAAGTTTGATCAGCTTTGATCATCTTACTCACAAATTTGATCATCGATCATTTTTGTCACAAGTCTGATCACCTTTGATCATCTTTGTCAGATGTTTGATCACCTTCGATCATCTTTGTCACAAGTTTAATCATCTCAGTCACAAATTTGATCACCTTAGATCACCTTACAAATTCATCTATCATTCTCATCGTAAACATGATCATCTTTATCACAAAATTGAGCATCTCCTCCTAACTACTTCGATCATTCTTCCAAAATCGAACATGTACGATCATCTTCTTCACAAATCTGGTCTTTAATCGTGTTTGTCATAAGCTTCATAACCTTCGTAACAAACTCGATCAATTCCGTGGAGAATTCGATCAGCTCCGTCGCGAATTCGATCACCTCAGTCGCGAATCCGACGACGTTCCTCAAAAACCTGATCATTCCTACGATAAATTTGATCATGTTTACGTTGGCGAAAGAACAAGCGCATCTCCCAAGAATGAGTAACGTTAATGGTTATCGAGAAGAAAAAGAATAGCTACGTTTTAATACTAGTCGTCATAATTGATCTACGAAAGGACGACACGCTATCACTTGTTATCGCGGTGGATACTTTCGTTTGGCTACGTGAAGCTACTTCAAACACAACTACGTATACTCTACAATTAACACGATAATAATACAATAATAATAAGATGTAATACGATCAAATAAAATACACTAGGACGCGTGCAACGTACGCTCAAAGCGTTTTCGAGTCGAAGCCAATAAATATTTTGAAAAAGGGCGTGAACGCAAATTGAATAAATAATACTTATTTAATACATCGATAGTGTCCGCGTACGAACGATCAAATTCGGTCCACGAACGACGAATCCGCTTTGGAATACGCGCGCTGTTACACGCGGATGAGCGGTCTTATACACAGAGTGAGGACGATTCGACGATGGAGATGACGTGACATTTAACCACCGAGTTGGACACCGTTTTCGGACAAAGAAACGTTATCCTTTATATAGCCTTTCTCTAAATCACTCTTTCGAGTCGAATATTTCGCTAGAACACACAGCTTCGAAGAGGAGAGAACGTCGGGGATTCGAGCGAAGCTCACTGATTCGAAAGTAAACGTATCACGAGGATTTTCCTCGTCTTTACGCGAAAGACCTCTTGATTTTGTCCAAAGCGTTCGTCAGGTGGGTCATCTCAGTGTTCAACTGCGAGACGAGGCTCTCCAACCTGTCGACGCTGTCGAGGACCTCTACGCGTTGCGTGTGCGGATTGTATCGAACCTCGAAGGGTCTGCTCATGGTGGCCACCTGGAATCAAAGGATATTTTGTTAGAAAGTTTTATTTCATTCGTGCTTTTAGGATTGTAATATGTTTTATCATCTTTGAATATGAAATCATCATATGTATGATTTTATAGCTTCAATTATTTTGGACTGAGAGAATACATCACATACATATGATGATGTCGTATACAATATGTATAAAGTATGTATGTATACAGTAAAGAGAGAATATAAGAGAATGTATCATACACATATGATCATATCATATGCGCCATATGTATGAAGTAAAGAGAGAATATAAGAGAATACATCATACACATATGATGATATCATGTGCACCATATGTATGAAGTAAAGACAGAATATAAGAGAATATGTCATGTACATATGATCATATCATGTGCGCCACATGCATGAAGCAAAGAGAGAATACAAGAGAATACATTATGTACATATGATCATATCATGTACATCATACATATGTATGAAGCAATGAGAGAATATAAGAGAACACGTCATACACATATGATGATATGATATACATATAATGTGACATATAAAGTAAAACAGATAATAGTGGTAATTAATAATAGAGAAATAGTATCAATTCAATTATTTTGGACTATATCTTCACATGTATGATCTTATGTTACTTTCAATTATTTTTTACTACGTTTCCATATATTATGTATTGTACATATGTGATCTTATAATACATTCGATTATTTTCGACTATCACATTTTGAGTATTTAGAATAAAATCCTAAACTTGATGAAAAACTAAATTAAGTGCTCGAAACTTGAAAACCTAATAAATTAAAAACATGAAATTTAAAAGTTGAAAAAATGGCAAACCAAAAGTCCAAATTTTGAAGCTTGACAACTTTTCTTATGGAATTTTATGACATTTAAAATTTGAAAAAGTCCAAATTTTGAAGCTTGACAACCTTCCTTATTGAATTTTATGAAATTTAAAATTTGAAAATGTAGTGGACCAAAAGTCCAAATTTTAAAACTTGACAACCTTCCTAATTGAATTTTATGACATTTAAAATTTGAAAAAGTAGTGGACCAAAAGTCCAAATTTTAAAACATAACAAACTCCTTTAATCTCCCTAATCACCTTAATCTTCCTAATATTCCCAATCTCCCTAATCTCCCAAAAATGTATAAATCTCCAAAATATCCATATAAGCCCACTACTCTAATATCCCTCTAACATTTCCCCGTCAACCCAGCATTGAAATCTCCAGAATACATACCCAGCGACGGAACTTATCCTTAGCATCCTCAAAGCTTTCCGCAACATAGTAGATCGGTTGGTACTCCTGATCCTGATATTTCTGAACGGCAGTGATAGATGGCTCGAAAGGTCGATGCTCGCATTTATCGCTGACAGCGTGAAGCAGTTCTCCATAAGCGGACAAAAGTCCGGCACCATAAGCCTTGATCTCTTGTCCCTCCTTGCAGAGTCCGAACTCGACGGTGAACCAATAAATGGTGGACAATTTTTCGATCTCCTCATCAGATGCTCCCAGGGAAGCTAAACCGATTTCTTGAGAGAATTGAGCGAAGCTCGGATCCGCCAATAACGGCATGTGACCCAGAAGCTCGTGGATGCAATCTCTGGAAATTGAAGAGAGACGAATTTAAATACATAATTGCAGAGATAAATGAACAGAAGGAAGTCTTTGATTGAACGCTTTAATATCATTGGTAATAAGCATAGTCCTTAATTAGCTCTGAGTGGAGCAATTTAACGGAAGGGGATGAGAGAGGGTTGAATTAGGGGCTCTTTCATCTCTGCGTTAATGACGACATAATTTCGTTATCTAAAATTGCATGGTATTCGTAGAAATAATATTTTTCAAACGGTATTCTGATGATTCAGAATGTTTAATATTTAGATCGGATAAAATAAATTTTTAAATTAACATTTTAGGAATTTTTAAATTAATAACATGCAAATTTTTGAATTAAAAATCTGTATACTTTTCTTGGATAATCAACAAGTTCATGCTTTCATTGAAATCGAAAATTTCACGGAGGTACTTAGATCCCAGGAAACTAAGTTATCAACGCCATCGCATCGTTAAAAGCCAATTAGAGCTCCATTACGAGCTTAGAGAGGCGTGGTAATTCTATTATTATCGTTCTCTGTGTAACGTCAACCCTCTCGTCATAACCCAGTCGATCGATTCTGCTGCATCGAATCGTACGATACAGATCTCGCCCGGCATACATTCATGGCGTATAAAAAAGACTATTAAATCTGAAGATCATTATTTAGACTCGACGCTTTCACTATTGCGGAGTTTAGAGATCTTGGCATTTTATGTCTGCTATAAGGTAACAGTTCTACTGTATTTTCTATTTGGACATTTTTATATTTTTTATCTTGTATGTGATATTTATGGAAAATCGAAGGTTATGTGCAGCTCAGAATTTTATTAATTAGGAGAGAATATGCGAGAATGTATCATACATGTGGTTATGTCGTGTGTATCATATGTGTAGGAGAGAATATAAAGGTATACATCATACACATATGATCATATCATGTACGTCAAATGTGTAAAGTAAAGTGGTAATATAAAGGGTATACATGATACACATATGACCATATCATATATGTACATCACATGTGTAAAGTAAAGAGAGAATATAAGAGAATACATCATACACATATGATCATATCATATATGTACATCACATATGTAAAGTAAAGAGAGAATATAAAGGGTATACATCATACACATATGACTATATCATACATGTACATCACATATGTAAAGTAAAGAGAGAATATGAAGGGTATACATCATACACATATGACTATATCATACATGTACATCATATGTGCAAAGTAATGAGAGAATATAAAGGGTATACATCATACACATATGACTATATCATATATGTATATACCTCGCATGTGCAAAGTAAAGAGAAAATATAGAAGTATACATCATACACATATGACCATATCATATACACCATATATCTAAACTAAAGAAAGAATATAAGAGAGTATATCATATGACATACAAAATAAAATGGATAATAATTAATAATACAGAAATATCATCAAACTTCTTAATCAAAACATTTTAAAATCGTCATCTTTCAGCACAGTACCTTCGATTAAACAATAAGATAAATAAAATAAAATGCACTTACGGTTCCGGCGTGTGGTAAGGACTGTTGATGTGACGCACGTACTGGGTGCTCTGGAACACCCTGAAAGCAAGGCTGGACAAAAAGTCCCTAGCCGTGAGCAACCCAGCCGCCGGACGTAAAGTGAACCCAGTATTCTTCTTCAAGAAATCGCTAACTTCCTGAAGCTGAGGAATGCGGTGCGCCTCGAAAATCTTCTCCGCCTGCAGTTTCCTGAATACTCTCTGGTACTCAACGCAGGCGTGTTTCGGCACCAAGTCCACAACCGTGTTGAACACGCGTCTCCAAGTCTCGTTCTCCGTCTCGGTGTAAGGAATGCTCGGTATGGGATCTCCATATTTATACGCAAACGCGATCTCCGCGATGATCTTCCTGCGGGCCCTGTACTCCTTGTCGGCGAAACCAGGATGATTCATGTCGAGGTCGGGCTCGTATTTGGTCATCAAGTGGTTGCAGTGATCCAGCTCGGACGCGTGGCGAGGGAACCAAGGATCTTTGATGCTGACGGAGTTGTCGGCGAGCAGAGTGACGCCATCCAGAGCGGCGCTTTGACGCAGGTTCCTGATCAGCTGCAGCAAACTCTGCCTGGTCATGTCGACTTTTACCAACACCTCGAACTGAAGACCTTCCTTGCGGGAGAGACGGGACTCCACGTGGGTCACCGTCCCTTTGAAGTTCTCGATTGTCTTCAGGATTCGAGCTAGGGAACTGATTCCCTCGCGGAGGCGGAGCACCAGCGCCGCTTTCTGGATCGCGTGCTCGCTGTCGGGACACTCGGATATGGTCTTTGCTAGCACCACTTCCTCCTCGGTTAGTCCCGCGTCTGAAAGTAGAAAGGGATCTTCAGAGGTTGAGGTTTTAGGTTGTTATACCTGGATTCAGAGGCAGAGACAGCCTTATTATATGGATAGGCGACTTCATGTGTTAGGTGACTTTGTATGTATATGATGTAGGTTTGCAATAGGAGTCCCTTTTAGAGACACATGTTTATATCTGGATTCAGAGGTACTGCAGCAGAGACAGCCTTATGTATTAATGTGGATGGGTGACTTTATGTATTAGGTGATTTTGTATGTATGTGATGTAGGTGTGCAATATGAGTCCCTTTTAGAGACACCTATGTACTCGAGAATTATTTGACTTCCAAATTTAATCTTCAAATCGTTAAATTCTTACATTTTTTAATTTTCCAAAGCAAGCAGCAGTAAAACAGAATTTTTCTGTTATATTCGTTCTCTAAGTTTCACGAGTAGAATACGAAAGGTCTTAGATCACGAACTCGGACCTTTTCCACACTTTCGTTACATTGCAGCGCTAAGTGATTTCCGTGGACGGTAATAATCGAGCAATTCAAAGTCCATTTTCACGGAATGTCTGCTGTCGGCCAGTTATATGGCAAGGGAGGAAATAAGGACAGAATAAAGTAGCTCTTACTGTCGCGAACGTGCCGCGAAAGATGAAGAAAAAAAGGAGAAAATAACGGAGTTATACATTTATGGTGCAGCCACGTTTCAGGGTAGAGTCCTCGGCTAATACGATTCTAAATGCACAAAGCGGATTCGGGAAAAAGGACAAGAACGGTAAAAGGTGGAAAGAGGTCCGTAATTCTGCCAAGTGGCGGGAAAAGAACTTCGAGTTAGGTTAACCTCTACAATGACTGTTTCACTCTCAATTTAATTCGGCCACTTTGCCTCAATTGCTGCTTTGACACTTTTAGAACTTTCATTTTTGAGTCGAGGTTTAATTGAGTCCTAATTGAGTCGAGGTTTAATTTTTTAGGGGAAATCAGGTTTGTAAAAAGTTGCTGGGAAATTTTGTAAAAAGTTCAGTAATAATAAAATATTTTCTGAACGTTCTTCTTCCGATATTTTAATTTTGACAATTAAAAACATGACTTACCATCATTATAATCCTCATCTGGCTTGCCGTCGCTTTCTGATGACGACTCAACCGCTTTGGCTTCTGCAAGTCAAACATAATCGCATGCTCATGCAAAAGACATCTAACTGTATAATACTTGCATAACATATAATACTCGCTTCTGAACATACTTCAGTCATCGTGAAATTTTTAATAATTCAATAATTAAACAGTAATATTAATTTTTTCTTTTTTGAAAATTAAACTAGTTGACTTAAATGTGAACAAAATATATTTTCTAAGAGTTTCACTCTTAAAAATTTACTCTAAAAATTGTACTAAATTATAATTAAATTGTATCAATAATTCTTTGTTGTATCGTTTCATAAGCTTAAAAAAATGTATACTTTTCTTACAAATAATGATAATAAATTTTATATTCTTACAAGTAATAATAACAAAAGAATGACAATAAATAAACATTTCCAAACTAAGAGATTAATTTGAAGAAAAATTACAGTGTCGCAAATTTGCAATATTTTAAACAGACAAAACAGAAAATCAAGCAAGAAATCACAAACAAGAAATATTTAATAAATTCGCAATTTATTCCTCTTTAAAGAAATATAAGTATGTAAAATATTTACGATGCAACAAAGAGTTAATAGAAAAAAAGAAAATAAAAATTCGATAAATACAAACCTCCATCTTTAGCAGCGCAAGCCAAAGTTTCCGCTTGTTCGTCGTCGCTAGACGAAGCATAACGTTCCGTATCTATGTGATCCTGATCAGCTATCGGGTCTAACGGCAAACAAGATTATCATGCAACATCGATGATACACGTAATTACATATTGTAGAATACTTTGCAATCGAGTTACGTTAACAACGTCTGTTCGAATGACACAGTTTAAAAGCTATTTCGAGAACAAACACGTACAAGACAAAGTCATGCGAACAACATCAACGTTACGTAAATAGGAAATATAAAAATAGATAATTGCATTAAAATGAGAAAGAAATAAATAATAACTTACCATTCGCTCGTTGACGAGCTTCCTCCAACACGCTCTGCTTGGTTTGTTTCACCACCAACGACTCGAAACGAGCATCGTCCACCAGGGATCTCCTTCTTGCAGGATATCCGTTCTAAACAAATTAAATAAACGATGTATTTAGTGGGATGTCGTTATTACTCTATGCTTGAAATCAGGTCGTAACGGAAAAAACGGTGATTACTTTTTAATTTTTAGGTAAAATTGAATGATGGAATTTAAAACAAAAATGTATATCGGTGTTTGTAAAATTTATGTACTTAAATGGTACATAAAATTTATGTAATTATGTACTCAATGTATAGTGTATTTTTATTTTATAGTGTAGTATAGTTTAATGTGTAGAATATTTCACTTTATGGGGTATCTCTAGATTTCACTTTATATGAAACATCCGAACTATGTATATAACATTTAAATTTAGACTATGTACAATATAAATTAGACTGTGTATATAATATTTAAAATAATTATATAAAATTTACAATATGACTGTATATAAAATTTAGAATACAAGATTATATATACACAAAATTTTATAAAATCCGCTATAAGAGGGTTCGCCACGTCCGCCATTTTATTGTCCCGCAGTGTCACGTGTTCTTCCGACACTGTAAGCTTAAATGGCGGATATCCTGTCCGATTCCGAACCTGCAAAGCTTATCTTCAGAGACTGGTCAGTAAGATAACGAAGCAAAGACACGGAAATTAATTTTCCCACACGTCTGTCGCTGCGAGATCGGAAATTAGTAGATCCGGACAGAACGGAGACAAAGCGTCGATCACAAAGAAGATCACGCACGAGTGAATAACCTTCGCGATGGAAGAGAAAATGCTGGACAATGGAGACGTTCAAGGAATTGTTAAACAAAATGGATGTTCGAGTTATGGACGAGAATAATTAATTTAACATGATATCTACACGTTTAGAAGTTATAATTGCTGTTAAACGTGGGAAGTATAATTTACTAGAAAACGTTCTTTTATTTATTATATTATTGTTATTGTTTATGTCTATTTTGTTTTTCATATATTTCTATTCATTTTCATTCAGTCAAATAATTCAGAAATTTGTATCAGTCACAAATTTATTGTTATTGTTTTTATCTATTTCGTTTTTCATACATTTCTAGTAATTTTCAATTTGACCAAACAATTCAGAAATTTGTATCAATCACAAGTTTGATAGAGTAACTTATTTAAACTTTATTTGTGTAAAACAATAAATTGTATCAGAAAATTAATCTTTAATATTTTTAACAATTATTTACTTGATTTCAAGATTAATTATTAAATAAATGTATCGAACGATTTTAATCTAACAAATGATCTTATAATTCTAAAATTAATTTTTTAAACAAATTTCATAAATCTTGAATCTATTTTAACAGTAAAGAAATTTGTAATAATTTAGAATAAAAACGTGAGCTTATGTAAGAAAGATACACAGTTTAAATAAAAAAAGAAAATTGATTAGGGTACGTGGCATTCCACATGCATCGCGAATAACGATTGCCGAGGATCATTAAGTCGTCCGTTAGAAATGTCACGATGTTTTGCGGCCGATTGCAAAGAGCAGACTGTCATTCAAATTCTTTACGAGGTGGTTTTCATGAATGGCTCGAGACCCAGTTCGATTTTCCAAGCGAGCAAAGCGGTTGGCACGGTTTAGAGAAAACGTGTAGTAATCCCTTTGACGACATATCGCCAAGTGGGCCAAGTACTTTGCCAGTGGAACGGATAGATGAACGATGACTCCGTCGAATACTTGCATCATCGGTTACTTGATTATCCCGTAAACAGATTCAGAAAAATTGTCCTGTTTATCGCAGGGGAAAAAATGGCACCTGTGGGTCGATACTTTGGCGCGATGACTCGCTTAGGTAATTAACCTGAGTCACTTGTGCAGCTGCGTTCGAATTTATTTCTGTGTTAATTTCATTTCTTTGTTCGATAGTGATACTTGATTTTACGATCAGGTGTGGATGAACTGCGTGATTTATCAGTGATTCTGCAATCCACTATGGAACTTCCTTTGTTCAAGCGAATACGGTCTTTGAATACCGAATGGAAACTAATCATAATTCTTTTTAAATGTTATTTCTCCTTTAATTGTCACATTTGAATAAGGACTATGTAGTTTATTTTTCTTATTTAATATAAAACGATTCTTATTTAATTTTAAACACGAGACTGTGAATTTTATTTTAATTTTACTGAACATATTAATATGAAGAGTATACAGTTTATAAATGTATACTTTCACTGATTATAAATGAGTGTCTTCAATTTTTCAAAACATGTTTTCAAAAGTGAAGACTCGAAATTTTTCTTAACGTTACCAAAGTAAAAAGTTAATTTGTTTTGAAGAATAATGCTGTAATAGTGTCTGCGTTTTTCCAAAATTTTAATCGGTAAACAATCGAAGAAAAATGGCCGCCATCAGACGGCATTCCAAGAAACGTGCGTACACAGTTTCGCGGTTGATTGAAATTATTCCACGGCTGGAATTTTTTTGCCTATAAAACGGCACTTAATGATCCGTGGCAAATCTATCCAAGGTCGATCATTATTTCGCCATTAAAATCATAGCTCGCATGGCGTTATTAATTGCCGCGGTTTACTATGTAGCCACCTACATTGTAGCCCATAGAAACCAGCTATTGAATAACGAAACAAGTTTCACGATACGCGTCCCGATACACGAGTTTCTCTCGAAAAATTCAGAAGATTGTTATTATCTAACAATCACTGTTGCTCTAAATGAAGAAACGTCGAATATTAAAAGATTTGTGAGCTGAGAGGGACACTAGAGGCAGAAAATCGTTGGAAGCAAAAAAATTGTTGCTGGACTGACCGCGAATTACGAGATCGGTATGCATAATGCGTCTGCATTAGTATTATTTTTGTTGACACGAAATAGAAATTAATAGGATGATTTTTTAAAAAGATTTTTATAATGGAGATGCATTGTGAGGATGTTAAAAAATTTTTAATATATTTTGCTAATATATGAAGAAATGTATGAAAGATGATTAAACATTGTAGAACACAATAGACAAGGAAATCTCCTAGGAGAAACAGAGGACACAATTTAAATGCCCGAATAAAAAGAATCGGGTTTAAATGCCCGAATA